TTTGATAACCCGTGGCAGGAGAGGGGCTGGGGAAGAGGAGAAGCTCTCAGAAAAATGGCAAGTGTCTCCACAGAGGCAAAGTTATCTGGAGAGACTGAACTGTCACTGCTAATAGGCATGCAGGGTAGGAAAATGCAGCAATTTTTTTTTCCCCTTCCTTAGAAACTTTCAAGTCTTGGTTCAATTCTTCTCAGGTTAAGCGTTTGATTTTTGCAATTGTTTTTGTACATTGGGTTCTGCTCAGCTGGGTTTCAGCTGTTGGTGGGAAAAGAGGACCTGGTGTCCCCTGACTCCTGGATCTCTCCAGAGCTCACTATGCTAATTTGATGGCTATTTGTGAAACAGGTATAACTTTTCTTAATTAGACGCATAGCAGATGTGTCAAAGACAACAGAATCAGGCAAAAAGATAGTAAGACTTAAAAATAACCATCTTCAATTGGGTTTCTGGGATGGTTTCTCTTTATTCAAAGATGAAGTAGCCACAGATCCATCTCCAAAGATGATTTTGTAAAAGCAGACTACCCCTGAGACCCTCACTGACTCCTTTACTTCTTTAATGCAACATCAAAGTAACTGGGTCTAAGAAGCCCACAAAGAGGTAAAGGGAAAAGTACCCTCTTGAAAAACATTCCAGGGTTCCTGGAAAAGGATACGCTTTTGTTCTATGATGTGGTGGAATGTTTCAGATACATTACCTCAATCCTTCTCCTCCTAGGAGGAATGCTTAGTTCATTGTCTCTGGTGACAAATATGGATTAGGCACCTACTCTGTGTCAAGTACCGAACCATATGTCAGGAAGGACAGGAAGGAGAAAAGAACTCATATTCTGCCTCCACAGAGACTGCTCTAAGCTAATGAAGATGTATATGTCTCTTGGACATCAGCCTTAGCAACAGTTTTCTAGATAGGTCTTCTCAGGGAAGCAAAAATGAAAATAAACATCAAACTAAAAAGCTTTTTTTTGCACAGAGAAGGAAACCATCAACAAAACAAAAAGACAACCTACTGAATGGTAGAAGATATTTGCAAATGATAAATTCAATAAGGTGTTAATATCCAAAATATATAAAGAACTCATACAATTCAATATCAAAAAAACCCAAATAATCCAATTAATAGACATTTTTCCAAGAAAGACATACAGATGGCCAACAGACACTTGGAAAGATGCTCAACATTACTAATCATCAGGGTCACGCAAGTCAAACCCACAATGAGATATCACCTCATGCCAGTAAGAATGGCTAGTATCAAAGATAAGAACAAATGTTGGTGAGGATGTGGAGAAAATGGAACCCTTGTGCACTGTTGGTAAGATGTAAATTGATACAAGTACTACAGAGAACAGTATGAACATGCCAAAAAATTAAAAATAGAACTCTGTATGATCTAGAAATTCCATTTTTTAATTAACATATAATATTTTATTTGTTTCAGGGATACAGGTCTGAGATTGATCAGTTTTACACAATTCACAATGCTCACCATAGCACATACCCTCCCCATTGTCCATCACCCAGCCACTCCATCCCTCCCAGAAAACAAAAACACTAATTTAAAAAGATATATGCACCCCTATGTTTACTGCAGCATTATTTACAGTAGCCAAGGTATGGAAGCAACCTAAGGGTCCACTGACAGATGAATGGATAAAGCAGATGAGTTATATATACACAGTGGAATATTAACCATAATAAAGAATGAAATCTTGCCATACGTGACAACATGGATGGACCTAGAGAATATTACGCTACATAAATCAGACAGAGAAAGACAATACCATATGATTTCACTTATATATGGAATCTAAAAAAAAACCAAACAGGAAACAGAAACAGATCCATAAATACAGAGAACAAACTGGTGGTTGCCAGAGAAGAAAGGGTTAGGGGAATGACCAAAATAGGTGAGGAAGATTAAGAGGTACAAACTTCCCGTTACAAAGTAAGTAAGTCATGGGATGAAAAGTACAACACAGGGAATATAGTCAATAATATTGTAGTAAGGTCGTATGGTGGCAGAAGGTGACTATACTTATGGTGTTGAACACTGCATAATGGATAGAACTGCTAAACCACTGTGTTGTACGAACACCTGAAATTAATGTAACTCTGCATGTCCACTGTATTTCAATTAAAAAAATGTACATGTCTGTGTGTCTGTGCAAGGGGCAACTCACCTTTCAAAACTGATCTGTTTCAAGCTCTACCTTAAATATAACCTATTCCATGAGATGGTTCTGAGGTCCTAACCAGAAATAACATCTCCCTTACTTGAGCTCCTATATCTTTTGCTATTTTGTATTTTAGCCGTTTATGTAACCATCTTATTACCCCCTGAAGTTCTTTAAACACCATTATTTTAATGACTGGAAAAAAACGAAGTATGTCAGTATATGTCAAGTTCCTGAATGCATGATAAAGACATGTGTCTTCAGTTACTGAAGTCAGAAAAAACTTCACCCAGTCATACTCAATAGGACCCTAGAGTTGAAGGGTCTTTGATGAAAGTGAAGAAAGAAGAGCATATCTACATTAAGGAAGAAAATAAGCAAAAGCCTGATGTCCTAGGATGTCTCTTAACACAGACATTTAAAATGTAGCAGGTTCTGATGACCTTCTGAGTGGCCATAAGGGGCAATTAAAGTCCTTTTAAGATGGGATCATCGATCCCATGATAGCACTCCTACTCCACACCGGTGACTGGGAATAACAGTATCTTTGTTTCTGAGGTCCTGGAACTCCTCTGAGAACCATCACCCTGCAGAGAACAGGTAATCTTCAGAAACAATTGAATTCCCCTGTTTGCATTTACCACACTGAATGATATGACCTCTTTGGAGAGAAGGAAGGATTAAGAACTTAATTAAACCAATGCTCTGTCATGCCCAACAGCTACAGCCAATCACAGACAGTGACCAGCTTTGTCTTTCTATGGACTTTTTGGAACAATATCTTCCCTAGATAATTAGAGAATAGTAACACATACATTGTATCAGCCAAAGCCAGACATTTCATGATCGTAACTAAATAGTATCAATACACATATTTGAGCTTTGGAATGGTTTTCAAAGAAAAAGCATTTAGAATGTCTCTTTAGAGCTGACAGTCTTTAGAAATTACTGTTCCTTAAGCACTTACTTTCTTTTTGGCCTCATTGTGTAAATCATGCTGCTATTCCTCAATTTCCCAAGATCCCCAAGGTCATTCTCTACGGTGTTTGCATTAAACGCAACTTGGTGCCAAGATTCTGCCTCAGCTTTCATATTCGCTTGGATGACCCTTTCCCACACTGAGTCTCTTCATACTTCCCTACATCCAGATCTAGTTGATCTGCATTTTCTGCAAAAAGTTTCACTCCCGAGTAACTGCAATCGGCCTCTTGCTTAGTTTCCTTCCATTCCCCTGGGTAGGTCCCTGCCAGGAAGGCAGAGAGGAGGAGCTTTTTGATGCTAATGAGGCCTCCGTGCAGGACTCCAAGCTAATGGTGAAGAGCCCAGTATGGTATTTCTCTAGGGAGCCCAGGTGAATGCAAGTGCAAGGGCACAGCTGAGAGTCATTTGAGCACCTTGCTGTTAGCCTAAAACAGGTATTCCAACATCTGAGCAGTGACCTGTAAATGGCTTACATAATGAAGAAACGAGTCAGTGTACTTGGCAATTCAGACTTAACTACATAAGGTATTAATTCAAACGAAGTCTGAGAACTGTTAAATGGGGACAGATTTTTTTTCTTTGAGGTGCCGGCGGTAGAATAAGGGTTCATAAATTATGGACATCTGAATTCTGCTGTTTTTCGTCGTTGTGAACTTTTAGAGGACCGTGAGGTCCACATTGAGACCAGCTAGTCTTGCCTCCTGGGCATTAGGGGGAATGAGAGCACCATGGCCTGCTAAGAGGCATACCCATTACTTATCAGATTAGCCCACCTACGGAATTGAAGAAACCTGCTGCAGCCCTTTAGAAGACCTGGGGGGGGGGGGCGGGGGAAGATCATCACCTGGCTTTAATCACTGAGAAATCTCCTAAAATAAGTGAAGTGTCAGCCAACATATACCAACCAAGGAGTCAAAGTCACATATGAGAATTTAGGGTAATCTTTCAGCAGCATGCTCTGTCTTGCCACTGTCATGGTTGGAATGACAAAGGAAAATTGTCTGACATTCTAAACAGAGAAGAAACATAGGCAAGGCTTCCCTTTGGGGACCTAATGACAAACCTTTAAGGAGCTCTTAGGATATAATAACAGGAATGTATTTGCATTATCTCATTTAATCCTCATAATGATCGTTTGAGTTAGATGATAACATTAATATTCTCCTTTTTTTAAAGATTTTATTTATTTGAGAGAGAGAGAACAAGCAGGGGAGGGGGGGACGGGGTGGGAGAAGCAGACTTCCTGTCGAACAGGGAGCCCGATGCAGGGCTTGATCCCAAGACCCTGAGATCTTGACCTGAACTAAAGCAAATGCTTAACCACTGAGCCACCTAAGGTGTCCAATATTCTCATTTTTAAGATGGGGAGACTGAGGCTTAGTGAGCTTAATTAAGTAAATCATCCAAGTCTCCCCAATTAGTAAGTGGCAAAGATGGGATCTGAATCCATGCTATCAATTACTAACACTATCAGTGGCCATGGTGTTTTTCTATCACAATTCTGTGAGCAGAAAAAACCAAGAATTCCCCAACAACAGCAACCACAGGACTCCGACAGGAATAAAAAAAAAGAAAGAAAGAAAAAAAAAAACCCCGAGGAAAACACGGGATTTCTGCAACCACACTGTCCGTTCATTTCTCCGTTATCTGGCTTCACGATTCTGAAGGTGAAGCACACAAATGTTTGCCCAGAGACAGGTTTGTTCTGAGCCAAGTGAGTCGTCTGTTAAAGTTTCCCACGTAGACTCAAACCTCACTCACATGGTATCATTCTTATTCAAGTACGATTTGTCCCATTTGGCTTTTTCAAGGGGTCCACGCCCAAGAACCGAGATTTTCCTACCGTGTCTCCTCCTCGGGGAGGTTGGGGAGGGGTGGTGACATCATGGGAGCAATATCTGTCTTCTCTGCTATGACTCAACTGAATATGTCAGGTCAATGCTACTGCTAGTCCCGAATCGATGCATGAATTATTCCATCTGCCAAGCAAACTCCCATGGAAAACAGCACACCATCTCCGTCCCAGCCCTGAAGGACAAGGGGAAAGGCAGCAATAAGGAACCACTCACGCAAAACTACACAAGAGAAGTGAGCTCTACCCACTCCCTTCAGGCCTCACCCACAAAAAGTGTACATACAACATTTCCATTTCCGATTGCCAGAAACAGGTAAAAACAGAATTTGCTTCCTCCTCTGTGCTTTCATACTACTCTGTACAAATTGCTAAATTATAGTGCTTACCATATTGTCCTGTAATTATATTTTAAGTGTCTGCCTTCCCACTAATGTAATAGCTCCCTTTTCCCCCTCAATATCTGTATCCAATGCATCTGGTATCAGGCGGAACAAAGATTTGTTAAACAAACAAATGAAAGATTGAATGTAACAATGAATGAATGACAACTTGCTCAAAGGCTCTCTTTAACTAGGGCAAAAAGAAATGTTCTCTCTACTCTTTATGACGGAAGATGGTTGACACTCTCACAATTAGACTGAGGGGTGGATCATGCCTGTCTGTAGTATTAGGTTTCTAGAATGTTTTGGCACTTACTGAATGTGTGTTTTGTGTATGTGTGTGTGTGTGTGTGTGTGCTCACTCCAGGCTCCTCTGCTCCTATATTCTATAGAATTCATCTCTCCAACCAAGTCTACCTATCTCATAACTTGCTCCCTTAATCACTGGCTTTCTTTGAACTTAACTAATTCAATTAGAATCTTTACTCAAAAAAAAAAAAAAAAAAAAAAAAGGCATTCTTAGTGTAAGTTCCTGGAAAGAGGAAAGGGCAGCAAATGTGAGCTGGTATTACCCCACATTGCTGCCCACAATCTGCCAGCCATGTCCCAAGTGTGATGGATGCTGGATATTCGGCAAGACTCAACACAGACACGGCCCCTCCTCTTGCAGTATTTACAGTCAGTGGGAAGAAGAGAGATAAATAATAAGGCAAGTAAAGTATAGTAACTGAAATGACAGAGGAAACACAGGGTGTTATGGGAGTATACGGGAAGGAGATCAGACCTTATTTGGAAATCAGGAAGGGCCTTCTAGACAAAGTATTTTTATGTTTTGGCCTGGGCAGATAAATGAGACTTTACCAGGTAAAGGGGGAATGTGGGAAAGAGAAGGCCCAGAGACAAGGGAGAACAAAATGCAACCGAAACACTGAAAGAAGCTAAGAACGGCAAGGGTTGAAGTGAGGAGGCAAAGTTGGGCCTCAGCTACTTTATTCTAAGGGCAATGGAAGTCACTGAAGGATTTTAACCAAGGTGGGGATATCTGAACCTGAGTTTAAAGAGAGAGAGACTTGGGTTGTAGGTAAAGACACATAGATTTGAGAGCTGTATTAGTAGAGCAGGCTAAGAGTATCAATAAATGGATCTTCAACATTTCCCTTATAGCAAGATGACTTTGGCTGCCATATGGAGAATGGATTATAAAACTGTGAGAGGACATACACAGAAACAACAGTACACACGAGGACAGGAATGACTGTGGAAACGGAAAGAAGTGGATGGGTTTAAAAGAATATTAAGAAGACAGAATTAACAGACTTCGGTAACTGACTAGACCAGGGTTGGCAAAATTTTCCGTAAAGGGTAAGATCGACAAAGTTTAGGCTTTGCCTGCCATATGGTTTCTGCCACAATTACTCAACTTTAGTGTTTCGGTGAGAAAGGGGACACAGACAATATGTAAGTGAATGAGTGTCACTGCATACCAACATTTATTTATAAGAAAACAGGCAAACGGGCCAAATTTAGCCTGAGAATGAAATTTGCTGACCCCTAGACTGAGGGATGCAGCAGTAAGAACAGTCAAAAATGACTCCCAAATATGTCAGTTGGTATCCGGTTGGCTGGGCTTACTAGTTACAGAGAAAGCAACAGTGGAAAGGGACGGGGCCAGAGAGAGGGAGACAGTTGTCAGTCAGGTTTTAGACAAGCTGAGTTTAAGATACCTGGGAGACATTACTCATGACATGTCCAATAAGCAGTCAGAAGTCTGGATCTCAGTTAGGAAAAAGACCTGGGCTCTAGGTAAAGACATATAGGTTTGGGAGTTGTCTTATTTAGGGCAGACTCAATGTTATGAACAGACCACCAAAAATCAGTGGCTTTAGTAAGAAGTTTCTCCCATGGTAATACAAGGAACTCAGATGGGGGTGGGGAGACAGTCATTCCAAGAGCCTGTCCAATAGTAGCATCCACCCCACTTAGCCAGAGGAGGAAGGTTCAGAGAGGTGCACCTATAGGGCTTTCTACGGGCCAGCTCTAAAAAGGGCACGCACCACGTCTACTCACATTCCCCTGGAGAGATCTCACTCACATGGGCACCTACCTACAAGCGAGGCTGGGAAATACACTAGAGCCACATGTACCTAGGACAAGGGTAGAATGGATTTTGGTGGGTAGCTATCAGGATCCACCCCCAAGAGTCAAAATTACTCAATAGGCCAGGAAGGCACAAAGATGAATAAAAGTGACTCAGACCACTGTGAAGAGTGAGAACAAGTTCAGAGCTCTGAAGAATGCAAATGTTAGAAGATGAATTGAGGAAGAAGAAGATCTGGCAAAATAGAAGAACAACAAAATGAAAATTAAACTGGAAGATTGTGTTAGGTATTTAATGAACACAGGTAGAAAGTGCACATTTAATTATTAAGGATTGATCCCCATCACTGACAAGCTGACACTTACTGGGTACCACTGATACCATAAAAAAAAAATGGTGTGAAATAGGAGCCAAATTGCATTTAAGAGAAAATGACAAAATCAGCTCCTCAAAAGAGCCAGATTTTCATTACCATTCAGATGGACTGCTTTGGGGCTATGCATTGCAATATTCATTTTTTTTTTCACTTTTGTGTCTGTAAATCAACCTATATAAGTAAAATGTATATTCTGCATCAAAAATTTTTTGTGATCTTATACACACATGAAGATATTAATATAAATATGAATATATAGCTGTATATACATACACACTCACAGGATTCATTACCACAATGCATTCCTGTTTTGTTTCCATTTTTTGCAATTCTCCATGCTCCCTGCTTTGCTCAAGGCTTCTCCTCCAACTCCCAGCCCACCTGTTCGTGTATCTGTTCCTGGCTTCCAATGAGAAGACCAAGAAAACAGGTTGGATTCCACCCTGGTAACACTTAATGCACTGCTTCACTATTACAAAATATGACACAGCCTGTAGCTTAAACAAACACACAAAAAAATCCAGGCCAGAACACTCATGCCCCCTTTCTCGGCAATTCTGAGTCAAGCGGACGTCAGCTAGGAAGAGAAGAACCTGAGATTTTGCAGAGCTATTGACCAATCTACCCTCTTCTCTCTCTTTGGAATGTAAAGTCTTTGGGGTAAGGAGGGGGATTCTGAGGGTTTTATATCTGGAACACTCTGTTTTTGGCAGAACAGCCAGCCTTGCTTATAAATAAGTTAAAAAAAAAGACAAGCAGATTAAAAAAAAAAATGATCTGCCCAGGAGGTACACAGATGGTAAAGAAAACAAAATTAGTAACCTCTTCTACTTGCTCAGCATAAATTGTTAGTGTACTCAACCTGACCAAGTGACTATTTATAAGCCTCACCTCGAACATCATGGCGTTCAATAAATATAAATTGAGGATGGTGACAATGCTCCCCATATTTCCTTACTTAATGACACACAGTTGGCAGTTCAGTGGCATAAATCTTATGCATTTTATTCTTCCTTTGCTGCTCTTCACATTGTAACTCATATCAGGTGTGAATCTATTAGAAATAGTCTTCCTATTAGCAAAATTAATTCTTCCTTTGATTTGAGAGAGGCCAACTAGTGTGTACGAGCAAAGGAAAATTTCACAAGGAGCATTTCTTCCCTGGCTTCTGTGAGGAGATTTTCTGTCAGCTCCAACAAGACTTTCTTATTGCTACTTTTACAGGGTCATCATTATTCATAGTCGGCTAGCTTCAAATATCATCTGCAAAGCATATCTAGAAATTTAGCTGCTGATGCAGGTAATGTATGAAACTGAGAAACTGCGACTTGTCTCACACTGACTAGGTTAAATATGTAGCTTAAAAAAAATCCTAGGCTCCTAGCTTGTCCACAGGGGAGGTAGAGCAGAAGGGCAGGAGCTCACCACCACAACGTGTATGTAACCTGTGGAAAAGCCAGAGGCACTGGCTCAAATAGAACCTGGGAATGCAAAACTCACAACGTGAACACTCTGTCTATGGCCTTCAAAAGGCATACGTTGCTGGAGGCCCAACAGTTGTGTCAGGTCAGATGGTTCCCTCATCCCTGTCAGTCTCCTAAAGCCACCAAGTTACTCTGCCATCGCCTCCTCTTCACAGGACAGTCTTGTCTCCTGTGCGTCTAGAAACCTGAGGCCACTCACCAATGCTGGGAAACCTGGAGCCACTCTTCACTCTTCCATGAGCGTCATCCACCAGCGTTCATGCAGCTCACCAAAACAGGCCTCTCATCAGACCCTCTACCCTCCCTCTGTGATGCCACCTTGGTTCAGGTCCCTGGCACCCCTTATTTGGATGACTACAGAAATGTCTAGTGGTCTCCTCACCTATAGGCTGATTTCTCTAGAATAGATCGTACCTGTGAAAAGAGAAAGAAAATCTCCCTAAAACTCAAACCAGACAATGTCAGGCCTCAGCTTAAAACACTTGAACAATATATGCCATCTGAGAAAATTCTAAATTTCTTACATGGTTGAAAGAACCCCAAGCATTAGGCACCTGACCACAGCTACAACTTCATTTCTCATGACATCTGCCTCATATTTCACATAACATACATACACACACACACACACACACACACGTCCTGCTACTTCTCACCTCTGAGACCATTCACGCTAACATCTCTGCCTGGAATGCTCTTCCCCATTATCCCAACCTGACCCTCACTTGGCTTACTCCTGCTACCTCTTTATAGTTCATTCAAGGGTCACCTCCTGGAAGCCTTAGGAATCATTCTCAATACTCCTCAAATATTCTCCACCTAACTCTGTGAGGCA